GGATCTGGAAGAGAGGGTTGATACTGGGTCAACTATGGCAGTGACTGAGGGGGACTTGCTCTGTGATAAACAAATGACTCCAAACAATAACCTCAAGGCAGCCAATCCTAATAAAAGAGGTGAACCTGAGAAGAGCAGTAAGAGTAAGCGTTCAGGTGCTGGTGCTATGACCTTAAAGGTGGAAGATCCTCCCCTGGTTCTAACCACCCTGAATGAAGAGTGGGCGAATAAAATGAAGAACATATAAGAGATGTTGAATTCTAAGAAAGAGGGGGATGGGGAAAGTCAAGGCCAAAGAACAAAAGACAAATAAGGGCTGCACAAGACTAAAAACCAGAGGCAGCGCTAAGGTGCGAAGGGAATGTAAAAACAACAATAGTTCCACATTAAGGTCCTTATATGGAATGTCAGAAAGATCGGTAAAGTCGAGAAGCATAGAGAGGCCTTTTAGAGCACAAGAGGCAGATTTTATTGGCTTGGTGGAAAGCAAAGTGAGGAGTGGAAAGGCGGCCAGAATTACCAGATGCTTGAGAAAGGATTGTAGTAAAGCCATTACTGTGGAGAATGAAGCCGGGAACGGCAGAATTTGGCTGATCTGGAATATAACTATGACATTAACGAGATATATAGATCTGATCAGGCTAGATCTTGTAGCTGCTGGGGGAAGGAAGGAAAGTAGGGTTTCCTTCCAGGACCGGAGAAGGTAAAACTCTGGGCGGGATGCCAGGTTTCGCCTACGCTACGGTTTCACAAGATTGAACCTTCTTTGTTCAACCGAAGAAAAGGAGTTCCAGAACACGAGGGAATGTACTTTCATCCCCAGGACCGCCCCGTCTATGTACTCGGGGCCTCCCCCGATTGCTGGAAGATGCGCGCGATACGATAAAGGCCCCTGGGAGAAACCAATGAAAAGCCAGGGTAGAGCCTCGGAGCCGGCCCAAGCGAAGATCGGCACTCGCAGGCTTGAGGAGCAGCCCGAAAAAGGGAAAGCCGTGGAGACGGCAGACTCGCCAGTCAGGCACACCGTGAGGCTGACTACAGCAGACCGGGAGGTTACAATTCCTGTTTTCCTGTTTCAATTTCCGGGAGTGAATGTAGGAAGTGCAGACGGTGGATCAGGTGTGAACATTCAACCAAAGGCGTCTTGGGGATCGGCAATAGCTAAGCATTGTGGCCATCACAGTTCCAGCTACGTATGGCTGGCGTACAACCTACGGGCTTCTTAGACAAAAGAAAAACAAGAAAAAATACACCCTAGCCCTACCTGGGTCTTTAGAGTAATACCGCTGTCTGTCCCCTGGAGGTTATCCTAAACCATTTTCTAGGGGAGAAATACTGGCTCAGGGTAAAGGCAGCCCCCCGTCGGGTAAAATCCCATAATGCCTGTCCCAAGGCCGAAGAAACATGGCTCTGTGCCTTGTTCCTCTCATGGTCTGGGTTGAGTCTAGTATTTCTGTGGGTAAAGGCACCTCATATACTCTTATGTCCTACGGAATCGAAAATCTATCCTACGGAATCGAATCGAAGTCTATTAGAATCTTGAAAGTCCTTAAGTATAAGGGAAGCCTATCGATAAAGTTGGTCATTCCTACGGGGGCTTCAAGGAGAGCTAGGCTATAAGCAGTTCTGAGAGAAAATCCCGAGTATTACTCTTTAAATAGATGATAAAAGAAAAAATGAAATTGTTATTTGACAGATTGAGAGTTAATCACACTAGAAATGATATATATTACACAGGTAATGGTGGAATGCTGCCGGAAAGCTATCGTTTCGGAAAAAAGGATACGTTCTCTAAGCGTAGAGGTCTGAATTTGCGAAGGTCAATTCCTAAGCCAATCCAGCCTTTGACTTATACTCCCCCCACAAATAATCCGAATTCTCATGTAAATAAGGATGAATTGCTTAATAGTTTTCCTATTTTAAGTCTACCTGTGAATAGTTTCCCTCTTACTGATTTAAAAGAAAGTCTGATTGTTGAACAACTTAAAGTTCAATCAGCTAAAGATGCTATTCTGGCGTTATATTTCCGTTTTTTTCCAGAGCATACTCGTTTCCAAAGATATGAATTTATAATGAGCAATTCAGCGAAGAAAATGTTAATGTATGTCTTTCAATCTCTCGGGTTATCAAAAATGTTACGTTTTTCAACCCCAGATTTGTTTGAAAATACCAGGTTCAAGGGTGGGTTGCACCATTGCTTAGATGTTCTCACCAGGACCCCGTATAAAAAAGTAATAGAATTTATAACATATTATAAAGGTATGTATGGGCGCTTAATCATATTTGTTAGCTTAGGGATTGGTTGTACTGTCTGGTACAACTTTATACCTGGAGTACCAGAAGTAGCACCTCCAGGAATCTTAGTACCGAGAGAGCTTCCGTATGATTCTTTCAAGGATGTTTCATTTGATATAGCCCCCTTTATGAAAATGAGTTATGTGGAGTATAAGTATATATCAGATCAAGTGTTATCCGCCTTTGATAATGTCTATCCGTTCAATGAAATCCATCTTCCTAGTGGTAACACTGCTGAAGGTAGCAATGCTAGGGTGGCCCTTGGTTTAGGGATCATAGTAGCAGCCTTTCTCGGAATGGGTATGATGTCATATTCATCTCCTCCTGATTTAGAATTAATAAGTACTTTGAAAGTTCAAGAATTACAAGAAATAATAGTAAAAAGATGAAAAACAAACAAGAAACAATTCAATCCAAATCTTCTTATAAGTTGACTATGATATGTGCAAGATCTTCTTATTATTCTACAATTTCTAGTTCGCTAGTTCAGCTATCAGAGGATATTGATTTTCTGTATAATGATTTAAAAAGCACTCAGAAATATAATCTATCTAAGAAAGAGTTATGTAATCTTCAACAGATATTGCTTTCAGGTTTTTACACTCTATCTCCGCTAAGGCTCAGGAGAATAAGTAGGGATGATCTACTAGAATTTTTATTTGCAACGCTACCTGATTTTCCTGACTTAACGTTTTATCCAAGCAGAGATAGTTCACACTATATAGTTGTTTTTCCATCAAAAAAAGAGGATGTCTTGGTGTTCATGGCATTGAGTATCCATTTCTATCGTTTGACTTATGGTTATGTGCCCAAGGAGAATTACAGATTATTAGATAGGTTAGGTCTCTTTTATTCTGGTATTCAAAACATGGGTAAGGTGAGTAGACTGTACCAGATTAACATGGATCCATCATTACAACTGATTCCTGAGAGTCTGGTTTTAGATGGTGTTAAGTCCTTTGTTGGGGCAGATTCGGTTTGTTATAAGCTGGTTAGTAGCTTTCTAAATCTCGAGACCTTTGATGAGGATGGTAGAAAGATATGCTTCGGTTGTATGCCAATTGTTGGAGAAATCAATAGGGTCTTATTCAATCTTACCTTAATGGAGTTCGACCGGCAGTTCAGCCATAAATATCCAGGGATTGCATTTGAAAGATTCATAGGTATGGTCTTTATAGCATGTACTGATGATCTAAGAATCGATGAATATCAAGTATTTGATATGATACAAGATCTCGGGCTGTCTTGTTCAATCGAGTATAAAGAACCAGGGCTAGAGCCTCTCTATTGTCGCAATAGGATGGTTGCTCTGGACTATGAGGGTAAGGTTGTCGTGTACAATCCTACAGATTACTATCCTACAGATTATGGTTAGTAGGGAGGTTGACAACAATTTAAGATAGGGAAAAAACATGCCGGTGCATTTCCATAGTTTATTTACTAGCAGGAGAGAGGAAGAGTCGCTATCTATCTATCCATATACGTATCAACAAATGTGGATCGGTCGATTGCCCCTAACCAGCAGCGGCAAGGAGGAGAAGACTCTAGAGGTTTGTCCCAAGTCATGCGAACACTCGCTGTAATCATGCCCTACCCGATGACAACTCAAGATTGGCAAGCATGTCCATCCGACTACTCATGGAAGCTTTGAACTTCTCCATGCGAAGTGGGTCTCCTTCACTTTACTAGAAGTTTTTTGATGCACGAGGAATTCTCTGAGAAAGGATTGGTAAGTAAGCATTCAGTGTGATTGGGGATAGGTTGGCACTGAGAATCGTCCCTTACCAGTGCTATCAAGAATAAGGATCTTCTATGAGAAATCCATGAGAGTGACTGCCAACATGAATGAGTAGTACGATCAACTGTTCTTCTGAGAAGTGGGCAACTCATGGAGTTTAGGGATTGCATGCTTGGGATTACAACGAGATATCAGGACTTTTATGCAGTTCATTGAGTCTCCACTTTCTTGTACTAGCTGACTAAAGGCGAGCTACTTTTGAATTCTCTAATTAACTAAGCTCTATCCATAGATAGTGTTCCCCACTGTAAAGAAATGCTAGCCCATGAATGAGGATCTATTTCCTTGGAGTCTTTGCCTTTAATAGTTTATAATATGATCTTACCAATTTGAAAGCGAGCTAGCGAAGTACCTCTTAGGAAAGCAGGTTATAACAAGCCAGTTTAAAAGTATGCTCTTGGGCTGTTTCCCTAGGAAGGAATATTGATAAGAGCTGGTGTTTTTCCTGCAAGTTTGAATGCCATTAAGCATTCCCCAGTGCTTATGCACCATCTAAAAGTCTCAGCTCCCTGTATAGTAAAACTATTAAGGTTACTTCTTTAATAAGCTTTTTCAAATTGTATAATAGCTAACCAACCGCTTAAAGCGGACTGCAACTGTACTTATTAGCTTTCCTCCAGCGATACTACAGATGGAATAGCTTCCCAGGCATTAGAGGATAAGCTTGACTTAGATTCAATTAATAGGGCATTTGCCCCGTCACTTGAATAAGCGGCAACCCCTTAGTGGCACAAGCCTCCTTTCCGGAGCTGTAAAGGAACTTCATTCCCATCTATTCGGCTCCTACCCGCTCCGACCAGGGGTTACCAATTCGTTATCAACGGCTTTCTTACAAGAAAATGTTATATCATGGGCTTGAGGTATCACCGTATAGATTTCCCTGTTTGGTACACATAGCTTTTCCTATCTCTCTTTTTAGCATTCCTTCTCTATAGCCTGTGTCTATCTTCTGTCAATTCCTATTCTCTATCTGGTCTAATCGGCTAAGTCTTCTATCTCTTTCGATGTAGTCGATGTCGGACTAGGAAAGCCAGTAAGGTCAAGTGTATTGAAGTTCTACCAATTCACTTACTAAGGAGCGTAACGAGCAAAATCTAAGGAGCTATAGTGTTGTTTCAGTTTCAGCCTTAGATTCTTTCTTTTTAGCATTCCTTATTAATCCTTTTTTAGGGAGATGTTGAGACTTTCAGGCTAGTAACAAAGTACCTTTCTAGGTGTAAGGATGCAGGTAAGAGAATCAATCTTAGCTGCTGTACATGTAGTAGCAGCATCCAGTCTAGCCTTGGTCTAATTCCTACTTAAAGGAGGGGTCTTATTCACTGTATGCGCATTCCCTGTATTCTATGTCCGACTATTCCACCTGAACCATATTAGTCAAGGGAGTAGGGCAGTCTTAGTGAAATTACCCTGGGGAAGATCTTATTAGCTCCTATTGATTCTAGGTTATATGCCGACAGTTCTATTGACAGCGTAGGATTTGACGATCGTAGTATGATTGATTCCCGACCGGGGAAGACTTCTTATATAATAGAAGGGAAAGCAAGCTAATTCCAATGATTCGAGATCTGGATAATGCATTGAGCAAAGCTGCTGAAATAGGACCGCTTGTCAGCCTACTCCTCCATTTATAGATTTCTATTCTATAATAGAAGAAATAAAGCCTCGAGCTATTAATTACTATGAGAGCTAAGCTACTCTTTTTGCTTAAGAAAGATGGTCATAAAACGAGATCTTTCATCAGCTAGGCCTGACCTGGTGACATACTCCAGATGAGTGGCCAATCCCTGGAAGATCCTGATTCTGATTCAGTAGTATGCCATATTGGAATGAAAGGAAAGTAAGCTGCTTCACGACCCTTTCACTTTATTAGCTTTTAGGCCATGCAGAAGGAGCTAGCTCGACCATTTACTGAGCTCTTTTCGAAATGGTAAGACTTTCCTGCTATATGAGAATGAACTCATTTCAAATGCTTCGCCTCTCTCCCATTGTTCCTTCCTCCTTCGTGCCCGATCCGGTCAGTAGGCGTCAGTGAAGTGAATGCTGTATGCTAAGAGGGGAAATGCCGACATCTAGCACATAGAAGAGCGGATTCGCTTCCTATTCCGATGAGATGTCAGTTCCTTTCGTGCAACCTGCTCTTGCATATGCCTCTTATTCCTCGTACAAAAAACCTATTTCATTGCCTGAATGGCACCGGCTCGATAAGGCAGATCTGTGGGAAGACGTCGAAGCGGGTTTAGAATCCGCCCCGGGGGAAATAATAGGTCAATCAGGTTCATCCCTCTTGCCAATACTAGTAGTCTTAGAAGGAGTTGCAACCTAAAGGGCTATTCCTGATCTTTCCTGTGATTCAATCGATTCCTAAGAACTTACCTCTCGCAAGGAACATCACTTTCGTATAGTTGAAAAACTCCCTTTTATTTCAAAATTGAATTCGTAACCACTGCTATCTCATGGAATAGGAATAAGCGCCGCTAGTCTTTCTTTTCTTTTACAGACTCCGAAATTTACTTCTTTCCAAAGGCTTGGCTAGCTGGAAGGCAAGAGCGCTATAAGAGGTCTTGAGGGTCGAAGGATGAAGGTCCGAGGCTACTGGTGGCCAAGCTTCTAAGTACTTAGCCAACGGATACGAATTCGAAAAAACGGTCAATCTCCGAAAGGCCTTTGCAGAGCTTTAGGGGGAATACTTTTGTGGTCTTTCACCTTCTTCCTTTTGACTGGCCAATATCTTTGAATCAGGGCTTTCGCTATTCCCACAGTCCCTTAGTCCCGTCGGTCTATCTCATATTCGCAGAAGAAGGAACTTGCTTAATGCCATGCCGGAAGTGTAATTAAGTAGGCGGTTGGTCGTATAAAAGTCTTTGAAGTAAGGTTCAATGCTAGGTTCAATGCTTAGCGTTTAGTTAGGATATTTTTCATACGAGTATGCCCTTATCCCGTAAGCCTGCCATCGTTGGAAGCCCCTTCCATTCGGCCCAAGCTTTCTTTCGATTACGTCTGCTTCCTAAAAACCTTAGTTAGTCGTTTAGTCAAAGCCGTACGTATGCCCCTTTCGAATCGTTCTATCATTCGAAGTAGGAGCAGGGGTAGCGGGCAGAGAATGGTATAGCGAGTTCATGTGCTTGCAGTTGGTTTACTACCATCCCCCTAACCTTTAGTCTCTGTGAAGTGTCTCTCAGGTATTGGGAGAACATCATGCCCCTTAGCTCGCTTGTATCGGATCAAGGGGGGAGCTTACTTCACTTGTTTTCTTTAAGTAACATGCCAGGAAAGCAGCTGATAAAGAGCGCCATCACCTTACTTAAGAAAGGGCTTATGCGAAAGAGAGCACCGCTTACCCGAGAAGAGAATCCGCTTTCCTTGTTTTTTTGCTTATTCCTAGCCAGAGAAATGAAACTAATCTCGAGATCCAGAAACCTATCTATACGCCTAGCATTAAGCTAAAGAAATATCGTTAGCCCTACTACTTTTATTGAAAGGAAGAACTTAGGACTTTGGGACTTACCCTAGCATTCCAATTGAAACTCAAGGAGATGGAACTAAACTGGCAATTTTCCTCTTTCTAGGTGACTAGAGGGAATGCTACTACAGATACAGCAACTCAATCCCGAGAGAAAAGATTTGTGAGGTAAGGTCTATAGACTGTAAGGCTGAAGGCTTGAATGGAAGAGCACTCCTACTTACTTTTGGGATAAATCCTAGACACCTTTGACACCTGATCTCCGGTAGGACTCTTATTTGATAGGCATTAGGGGATTTTAGGTTTTGGGGTTTCACTTGCAGACCCTGCATCCATAAGTCTCCTATCCTAAGTGTCTTTCTCTGCATGAATAAAGTTCTTCGACAGGACCATCCCGACCGAGGGCTAATCATAGATCTACTATGGTATTTTCTTCTTTTCTTGGTTCAAATCCTTTTCAGGAAGCATTATATTGAGTAACTCCAAGAGTAGAATCAGCAGCTCACCTCACGTTTTAGGAAGAAAATGAGGAATCACACGTAGACGGACCTGAGCATTCTCCTGCTCTACGGAGCTAGAGTTGGGGCTGCTTGACGCTCTTCTCCTTTCGAGTGAATTACTTATGCTCTGATGCCTTTGATCAAATGGAAGGATGGATGCCAGCCTTTAGCAACTTCGTTCGGTACATTCCTTCTACCCAGCTCTATAGATGAGAGACTACCAAACTTAGAAAGAGGGGTCCCTAGTATGTGATTGAGTCAAGTTGTCCAGTGCTTCTGCTGAGAGAAAGAGAGTCTATTGACTGGCCTACCTACGCCCGTACACATCCGCAGTTCTTCTCCCAGCGCTGTAATTTTTTTTGAGCTAGATCCGGAAATTGAAATAGGCTAGAGCTCCCTGTCCTTTTTTCTAAGGCTTTTTGATCGAACTAGGAATCATACATTAGCTGAATGACTCGACAACCAGGTATTTCACTAACATGCACATAAGCTACCTATATTCTATATAACATCCCATCTCGTTTCATTGCCCCTGCATCCCGAAAAGATAGACTTCCTACTGGATGTCATACTAACTTGCAAGCTGTCAGCCTAGAGGGGAGGGCTCATAAGTCAACTAGCAGAGGGTGAAGGTGTACACTGCTGGTAAACCCTCTCTCTTTCTTCTCTAGGATCGAAGCTCAACTTGAATGAAAAGGGTATAGCTTCAAGCTTTTACCAGGTAATCATTCCTTCTTAGAAGAGTTTAAGCGCACTGGATCTCAACTCCTACACTGTCTCGCACAAAGATGTACTCCATCCAACTGAGCCAATAGAAGCGGTTAGAGCCGTTGGCTGATAATGGAGCAGGGAACAGTCATCACGAAAAGGTATCGAACAGTGGAAATACCTATCGGAGCACACTTTAGTATGAGTACTTGTCGCGAACTGGATTCGAACCAGCACCTCTGGGAGCAAAAGACAGGCCCAACGAACTACCATTCATTCTGATCGCGACTTTGTTTACCCGGTTCCCCTCGCGGCTAAAGGGTACATCCGGGGCCGGTCGTATGGACCTACTTACCTTGCTTGTAGACCAGCTGCAGAGCTAACCCTTGTTCTATTGGTTTGATGCTACCAAGACGATTTCTTTATGCCCATCAAAGGACCTCGAGATGCTAATCCACGAAAAACGAGACGAGAAATTCGAAAGAAAAGAACTGATATACGGAACGAGGGCGACCCGTGGAAATACATCGGTTTCTTACTAGTGCAAAGGAACTCTTTCTTGGCAACTTGGACAACTTCTAACGATGTTTGTCCCGCATATCACTAGATCGATCGGTATCTTTACAAATTCATAAAGCTTTCGTCTCAATTCATACTTAGCCGCGAGCAATCTACGTTTGTGATCTCGTATATTTTGCTTCTCCGACATCTTACTGACTTTCCCCCTCATCTTTTTGAAAAAAGCCGCTCCACGGTGGTAAAGTCTCATCTTGTGTGTTGGCCGAAGTTACAATAGTGACATTGAACCCTCGAATATGTTCGAAGATCTCGAAATGATCTTCCAGTTCCGGGGAGAATTCACAAAACTCCATTTCCATCAAGAATTGAATGGACTTTTCCCGTATTTCGACCGGAAAATCTAACAGAGACATTACTGCGGAGATTCTTACCAAAAAATGAGACATTCCATGCCCTCGGAGAGTGCTTTGCCGTGCTAGGTCACTGACATATCCTTTTTTGTCTTGATTTTTTCCCAAGAATGGATTGGATCGAAACTCCTTTCCTGTCGAAGCCCTTTGTGTCTGTATTAATTTCTGACCGTACGGAATCTCCATAGCCAATTTTCCATTTTTTATTATGAAATCAGAGGGTGCTGCCTTTGGTACTACTCTTATTTTACACGATCCAAGAACTTCCATAACGTTGGCGTGATTCGGTTTGAGCAACGGATCCTGACGTGATACATCTTCGTAATGAAAATTGAGTGTAAACATTTTTTTTTTCTTTCCCAGTATCGATAGAATGAGCACTGTGAACTATCTGCTTCAAAAAAGATAGTTGTAAAAACATCAGAGCAATATATCGTAGTGTAGAACAGATTTTCAGTAATGGGGATCACATTAGTAGGAATATAGGCCAGTCTCCAGCTTCTATCCTTTTCATTTTTGTAGTGAAAGCAATAACAATAGGATTTCAATGATCTTCTTTACTTAGGTTTTATACTGACATATCAATTTGTTTTCTGCTAGCATATCATCCACAAAGACATTCCTCAAGCATAGAATATCAGGATTTGAGCCCTTGAACTGACTTTTCGAACCCTTACATTCTAGAAAGCCTGATGGCATTGATTCAGCCATCATTGAACAGCTTTGAACCAGTCTAACATTCGATGAAGACCGAGCCAGACATTGGATGCTGCCCTAGCTGCAAGAACTCAATTAGCCTTGAATATCATATGATGAGACGTTCTGACTGCATCAAAAAATACTAGAAGAAAAAAACCAACACACTCCGCCAGCATCAACCTAAGTGTGGAAGGCGCCATTACCCTGGACCCAGCAGTTCTTAGACGACCACCTCCATCCTTGAGAGGATTCCCAGCATATCCGGGAACTCTCGATGGAGACAGGCATTGAATTAGAGCCAACTCGGCCAAATTCATGGATTTTCTATGGAGAAGCATTGGTTCATGGATGAATTTAAGGCCACACCCATGTGACATACTTCCATTTACACGAGGAGTATTTTCTATATAAAAAATCCCATGTCCGATAGTGCCTTTACCCTAGTCAGAATAAGAAAAAAGGATCCCTCTAGTATAATCACTAGAGACAGGCGCTAGTTATTCTCCCGGCTGAGTATATTTATCTACGACATTTGGCGTAAGATTCTACTCTTTTCAATGACAAATTGTCTATGCTACTTGAAAGGGAGAACCTGTGGCTGGATTGAATCCAATGCCCCGTAAACCTAAGGGTTCCTCCCTCATAGCACAGTCATATGGCTTCTTAGAGAAGGGTAAAGGCACTCATAGCAAGATGAAAAACAGCAAACAGAAGACTCTAATCACTGGAAGGAAGCTAGGCAGGAGCCATTCAAAGCTTCGAGTTACCTCAACTTGAGAGCGCTAGATAGAAGGAGTTCAAATGCATTCGATCCCCTATATAGATCCAGACGAGAAGACGCAAAGATGCTCTTATCATCTGTACTGCCTTTTGCATCTTCCTTGAAGGTTCTAGCAGACGAAGACGGAAGACATTAATCTAGTTATCTTTGTCTCTATCCTCTTTCTAAAGATAGATAAGCAAGGTTTTTCTCACTACTGGCAAGAAGCCTTAAGAGAAGAAGCTCTTTCTAGTGGAAGAGGCTGGGCAAGCACATCAAAGGCTGGGTTTTTAGTAGTTCAGGGTAGCCGAGAGCCCAGTAGAGAACTTTTATCTGACTAGGAGCAGCTAAGCCCCTACCTATATAGTCAAGAGGGATGGAGCCCCGAAAGAAGTAAGGCTAGTCGATTTCCAAGATTTTAGTAGCTCAGGAAAGGTTCCCGAGATTGGAGTGGGTCTATTAGCACTGGGAGAGAGAGATCTCGTTAGTCCTGGTATGATTGCCGCGGGTTGTCGTCGGCCCGACGGACTTTGGGAGGGAAGGGAAAGGTTCCCGAGATTGGAGTGGGTCTATTAGCACTGGGAGAGATAGATTTTAGCCCCTAGGGAAATGGAACCGGATACATCCCCCCGCGGGCGCCGCTTTTTATCTGTGGTCTTACCCTCTTTTTTTATACTGGCGTTCGCCTTCATAGGCATAGGCTTAGGCATAGACATAGAAAAAATGGGGCTAGAAATAGCTTGGTGTGACCACAGGAACGCCTTCAGCGTTCCGCAGAGCCCAGCGGCGTCTCAGGAATTACCGGAGTCCCCCCCTCCACCACCGGTGCCCCCCGCGGTACCAACCACCGAACCCTTGCTGTCCGATCAAGTACGAAACATCATCCTCTATCAAAGGTATCTTACCCTCGATTTTGGGGTAGGGGACCCCGACGATTTAAGCCGCATGGTTTCGATCATAACTAACCAATTTGTTATAGAGAGGAGTGTCGAGCAAGCCCTGCTCCAAGACGGCTGGAGCGCTGGTTCGATTCTAGCGCAATACACGAGTATTCGTGGCGTTGTTCACACTCCACAAGGGAGACTCCTAAGTCCGAGGACTTATGAGTCTTACGTGTCGTAAATAAACGAACAGGGAACCCGGCAAAGTGTGCCCTATCGGCGGATTACACGGGCTCTGAACAATTTCGATATGGTGTTGGAGAGAGCAGGGGGGGGGGATAAACGAACTGATCAGGAAATCGAGAGAACTAAATCAACCTGCTTCCCTTCTACCAGCTACGGTAGAAAAAGTACAGGAACAATTACGACCGAACAAGAAACTCGAGCCTCGGAGTGTAAAGAGGAACCCGGGGAGAGGGGGTTTAATGGCCAGAGGGTGGAAAAGCGTGGTAAGGGGGAGGGAGGCGACCCTTGCTGTATCAGAAGATCGAGGTACGTAGTTCTCGAGCTTTGCGAGAGGATGGAAGGGAATAGATAATTTGCGTCTGCTCTCACAAGTCGGTTCAGGGGGAAAGTCGTTTCGCTTTAGCTACCCGTTTCCCTACCTATCCGGTTCCTTTCTTTCCGTTGGTCAACAACCAACAAAAGAGGGAGAGAGAGATCTCGTTAGTCCTGGTATGATTGCCGCGGGTTGTCGTCGGCCCGACGGACTTTGGGAGGGAAGGGAAAGGTCAAGCTGGCGGAGACCCAAGCTGAGAGTAACTGCCCGAGAAGGTCAGTGAGGTTCCAACTGTAGTGAAATGAAGGATCTTTCTTAAAGTGAACTATGGTTGGAAGAAGACAGGCGGGAGTGAGCCGAGCGAGTTCCAGTGGTGGGCTGTCGGTATGTTCCCAAAGAAGAGTAGCAATGCTAGATTAAGAAGGGGTAAAGCCATAACTCTGCCCTAAGCATTGAGCTTAAAACAAGCCGCGAAAAAGACTTTTCGGGTAGCCTTCCATGCCAAGCCAGCACATGGACCGGATTGGTACTCGAATGGCTTCCCCTTCCTCGGCCCCTTTCTTCTGTCTTTGACTGACCACAAAAAAGACAACAAATAAACGGAGACGTGTCACCAAAGCAACACTTTCAGGATTAATTACAGGCCATGGTGATCTTCGATCTCCACCATTGGCTTGACCTGAGGCATCGGGGACTCACCACAACCTCATGCCCATCCAGAGCAGCACACGTTCCTTCCATCGTCTGATCTCCTCCTGAGACTTCTGAGCCTCCTAGGATACTATCGTAAGCCGCAGCCACAGGATTAATATGTGGAAATGGCAAGTACACACTGTGCACCATGATCTTGACGTTGCGGATGACGTCCGACACCTTAATCCTCACATAGTTCATCCTCATCGGCGCCGAGGTCAAACCTCCACCGGCACCAGAGGTTGTGATAAGCAGCGGTTTGCCTCGTTCCAATGTCGGCGGAGCAGTCCCCACCGGAAGCTTCTCCAGATCCGCGATCGACAAGAAATGGTTCGGCACAATGTGGAACCTGACGTTGCTGATATGATATAAGAGTGAGAACCGGCGAAGACCGTCATATTGTATTGTTAAGAGTCACAAGCTCGGGATACTTCACCTTCATAGCGAGGGCTAGGATGCTGAAGCCATTGTTACGGAGCCGGAGCATGGCATCTCTGAGCATCAGGCGCATGATAGCGGGCTGCACCGAGCCGAAAAGTCTGGATATGTTGACCAGAATGATGATATGGATGGAACGGGAACGAGAGCGAGGTCATCCTCTCCACGTCGCAAGAAAACGTAGAGAGCGGAGAGATGAAACCTTGAAGGCCATGAATAACCACCATGCCGTTGTTGAAGAGATCGGGTTGCGTGATCTCCACCCCTCCGATAAAGACCTTAGCACTAGCAGTTGTGCTGGTCTTTCTATTGACCGAATCAGAGGTGAGGGTGATGCAACGGCCTGGACTCAAGGTCTCTCCTGCCTCTCGGGCGAGGGATGAGAGTAGTGTTATTTAGTTTGATGAGGGTAGCTGCCTATTGCAGGAGTTCCTGACCTGAATGGACACCAGCAAGCAGCTACTGAATGTAAACAAAGTAAAGGGGATGGAATCAACTCAATAGAATTAGGTATTGAATATGACTTCTGAAGTGACTAAACGAAGTTAAGGATTGATTCAATACCAAATCCCAGATCCCTATAGACAACTAATGGTAGGGGCCCCAACGCCCATCGTGAACTACGTTCATTGCTCGGGCAATGAAAAACCTTGTCTCTTTTGAAGGAAGACCTGTGCACTTTCCCTTTGGCGGGCCTATAATCGCGAGTGAATCCTTTGTGCCCAGAAACTACTACTTCACCTGATCGGCAACCCTGGGATTCCTAGTGAAAACTACACCTTCATCTCGATCAAAGGTGGGATCCCAGATCGCTTGAAGCTTCCTATTCGCCTTTCGGGGGGTCCCCCGTTGATAGATGGGGGCAATCATCTGCGCCAGTGTATAGTAAAAAAATCAATTGAAAATTATTACAGTAGCGAGGAGAGCTTATGGACAAAAAATGAGGATTCCGGCGGCTTTTGCCACTTATGATCAGTGTTCACAAGAGCGGGACGGTTCAATGTCTTACAATGTTCAAGCAGCATTCTTGTCGGAAGGATTTTTTAGGAGGCCCGGGCACCTTCCGAACATCCCTGAAGGATAGAACAACATGATGAAGAAGGCGGCGAAGGTATGGAGGAAAATTTTGAAAGAGAACAAGGAGATCCCTGAAAAGGGGGAGACAAGGAAGTAGTAGAAATGTTGAAGAGGGGACAACCCGCTCTTTACTTTTCAGGGAGGCTGCCCCTCCCTTCTTGCCTATCCTGGACCCCTTCGTGAGTCCTCCTGGTTTGGAAGCTTAGTGAGAGCTCTTACCTCATGGTAGCTCTGGGAGCTGCATGCTAGCGTTTATTGAGGGAGTTGGAAAGAGCATTTGCGGTTGAATCGGAATCGATTTCGGATGAATCCAAGGGGGTGCTTTACGCTAAGGAGAGGATACCGTCTTGTAGTTGCGGAGTTGTCTGGGATGAACGCTTTCCTTCTTTCCAAGGGTGCTCAAGGAGTCTATCAAGGCATAAATCGATATATGAAGCTGGGAACTTACCAATCATAACAAATAGCCTTAGGTTGCTTATTTCCTGAGAGTTTCAGTTTTTGTTCGGTTAGGCTATCTGGGGGAGGCAACTCTTCTAATAGTAATAGACACCGATGCTATTTTTCTACTACTATTAGATAATATTAGATTGACGAAATTCCTTGTTTACACGTGGCTAGGTCGCTGATTGAGAAGAACTACCGCTGAGATGTCTCAGATAGAGAGAGAGGGTTGGTCCCCGTCTTTCGTGTTTAAGATGCCTTAGGACTAGTAATGAAGCACAAAGCTAAAAAGGAAGTGGGAAAGCGCCCGACTGCGAAGCTGACAGAATTTTTTCAATCTACGAGTACGAGTAGCAAAGGGGGTACCCCAGGGGAATGTGAAATGTGGAATGAATCAGGAAGTCGCCCTTTTGTTAAAATTCCTTCTCCTCTCTTTCAGATTTCAGACCCTTGTCTTTGATTTCTGCCAAAAGATCTTTACTGTATATCCAATCTTGGATCTTGGACTGGCCGCATTCCCATTTATATTATCAAATATAGGTAAGGCCAACCCGCCCCTTCATCATTTCATTTTTTGTAACGAGAATATATATTGGTACGAAGCGCAAGTACTTAGCTTAGAGCCCTGAGCTCCTCGGATCGGAAGAAGACCAAACTGCGAAAGGAGAAGCCCTCTTCAGAACCCATACCCTAAGTCGATTCTTTTTCTTTTATTTATTCAGAATGAGCCGCTGACACTTGCTTGCGCATGAACATCATGAACATGCGGTAGACTTCTCGGAGGTGCCAGTAAGGCTAAGGCGGCTCTGGCTGCATTTGCCAAATCCGAGGGCTGAGGGGTGCCCACTGGTCTACAGCATATGATGCGGGTTATTGCCCATGCCTTTTTGTTTATAGAGATCGACTAGAAGAGAAAACCACTTATACTGCCTACTCTATTCCTAAAGGAAGAGAATTCATTCCCATTCCTTAGAACAATAAACAGCTTCCATTGAGTCTCTAAATGAAAATGAATGAGTCTCTGAAGCTACCCTCACTCAATGCGAAGAACTCTCCGCCCAAAGCTTTCCTTTCCCGGAGCGAGCCCTACCCGGAGCAGACAACTCTTGATCTTGACTGGCAACGGAATTCGCGGCACTCACTTTCCTGGGCCTTCGATCGATCTTTTGTGGGAGAAGTCTCTTAGTACGGGATAGAAGGGGCAGCTGCTGTGGGAGTAAGCATAAACAAGCAGTAAGCCAACCACCGATCTATCTCAATGCCATCGGCAAGCTGCTACCTCGGGGCTATTATCCCGGGTTGTTCTAAGACTGAGACAGAGAATAATGAATTCGAATATGCTATAATAAGAACACTTATTAAATCCGGATCTATTTTAAACAAGGTGACACCTTTCCGGCAACTACTCCCGGGCAAACTGCAACTACCTTCGAATAGGTTCTTTCTCTAAAGTCAGGGTTCGCATAATCTGATAAAGAAGGAAGGGGATTTATTCTCTTACTCACCGGGTTAGGGTTTTCTCTCTTGTCGAAATGCTAGTTTCATATTAGACTTTCAAGCTGCGGCTACCCGGGTTTTCTTTATATAGCTATCCCGCAACTAATCCTAAAACAGCTTCTGCAGATATAGGATAAATAGAAGATAGAGTGAAAGAAGTCTTTATCTCTGTACCATCCCTCTACAGACTGACTTGAGATAAAGAAGAAAGAGAAAGACTTTCTGCGACAACTCCTATTACTACTGGGGTAGCTCCCGAACCTTCTTAAACTTCTTCCCCGGATTTCTTCGAGACTTCAACTTCACTTCTCAATCGTCTAAAAGAAAAGGTGGTCTGTTCCTGGTAAAGGTATTTTTCTATTCACTGGACACCCACTGAAACGACCTCTATAGTTTAGGGCTCAAACGGCGGCTCTGTCCTACCTTACTTCTCAACCAAACCAGATTAAGCAAAGCACGCAAAGACGTCCACTGTCTATTCATGTTATTCTTTTTATCCTCGAGCGGCGGTGGGGCCTATTGATTCGGGGGCATCA